TAAACATAGTGAACATCTTAAACACCTTCACATAATGATGGGCTTTTAGTACACTCTGAAACTTAAATACTTGGAATATTCAGCTAACCCTACTATCACACCAAACTAGTTTTCACTACGTTCTCAAAAACGGGCTTCGACTGTGTACGAACGGACTGGACGTACTTAGAACCGTTTGGGGTCTATTTAAACTTCATCGAACGTACTCGAATGGGTAGGTCCTCTAGAACTTAGAACATGCTCAGAGTGACGACCTACTAACGTCGAGCTGGACGTGCTACGAACGGAACCATCGTATTTCGATCCTACTGGGGACGTTTGTACAACGAGTTGAACTGTCTGAGGACGTATTGAGAACGAGGTAGAACTAATTGCAAACGGGTTAAAACTGATTAATAACGTATTTATCAACGAGTTAGCAAAATATAGCTATCACACCAAGCAAGTTGCCACTGTGTTCTTCAAAACTGGTTTTAAATTGTGTGCGAACGGAATGAACGTAGCTACAACGTTCAACGGTCTGTTTACGAACTTCATGGACTTTCCCGGACGGGGAATGTGATTTAGAATTTTGAATCGATTCAAGATTCGATGGCGACCATACCGATCTGTAATCAGGTTATGATAACCTTCTAGACTAAGGAACGCGTTATACGACGTTGCACACCGACGTGGTGCGACCTGAACGAACTGCGAATGAGATGGACGTATTGAAGACTGTTTATGAACGAAGTAGCTAATTATTTTAGACATATTTTCCGAACACAGCCAGATTAAGCCCGTTTTACGACGTTTTCGTAGGACTGGCAAGAACGGGTAAGAACTAGTTTGGTGTGACAGGGGGGTTAGATTTCCAATTTCTGCGTTTCTCAGTTCATTGGTCTTTAGTCCATATCAATGGCAACGTTGATAGTCGAAGCTTTACATATTGCGACTGGTTTAGAATACTAGGTAAAATATTCATACGGTACTTAATTTAAAATTGCAATATGTACCCTTTCAATTTATCTTATTACGCCTTAATTAAAACTATGAACACGGATTCCCCATAAAGCATAATATATTGCCAATGAGTAAATATTTAGAAGGGATAAAACCTATTTTCTTGATAAGCATTAGCATCATACAATACATGGCCATGGTATTAGTAATGAGACATTGACATTGACGCAACATTTGAAATACTAGGGAGTTTAAGCTTGCAATGTTTTTCACAACCTAAACGTAAATGGAAAATATTTAAGCGATGCATTTGTATGGGCGATTGGTCATACGTATAGGTTGGCGTTTCGATTTTATATGCAAGCTTAAACTATCTATTTACTCATGTATAACAGTAACGCAACCTTACTATATGAATTGACACTATCATGTATGTTTCAAAAAGTTTCCCTAACGTAGATGATAAATGCACCTCAATACACGACCATTTGGTGCAGTCAGGGGTAATCAGACTTACAAGTTAGTAGTACGTACAACCCATCAGTAGGAAATAACCCCAGAATCACAAACTATCTCAAACGTATACAAAACATAATTTTCAGGACCCCTCAACCCCCGGGCTCTCATCGCTACTAGAAATTATTATCGTAATCCAAAACACAAGACTTCAGGTTCGTGAAAGTATTCCAATGGAGAATTTTTATCTATAAATGTAACTATTAAAGAAGTATCAAAAGGCTATAGCTAAGACTTTAATGATCAAGCTCTCGCTGTTAACGGATTAACAATTCTGTCTCAAGCGGACTATGGGTATCTAGATCGATCGATAAAGTAAATCTGAGGTTAAAGAACAAACAGTATAACGTGTATGATAGCGCCGGACGTAACCACCTGTTTAATCTGAAACACGGCCATCAAATTAGAATAAAACAGAAAACGTTGATGGATTACGTGCTTTTATTGAAGGAATTAACGGAACTTTATGGCAGGATTACATGACTTAGTTTCAGATCATCCGTTCATCGACCCTGGGGATATTTTCAATTTTCAAACTGTTGATGAGTAGCGTAAATCCACGGATAAGCTAGACCATCATATGGAATTTCTATTTTGCATATTCAAAACAGCTTGAAAGAGTGTACACGACGTTGATTGATTACACGGTATGTACGTATAGTTTTAACCTCATTGCTTATGTAACTATTTAACTTAATTATAGTCAAAATCTAAAGAAAGGATGTGGCATTATTTCCTAATTTTTTACATATAGGTTTAAAGGTGATGATGTATGTAATCATTCCACTGGACCCTCAAACTAGTAGCAAGAATGCAACGTTCGTATTCTAACAGTGTTACATTCAGATGCAGATGTACTAAAATGTTCTGCAGTTTTAACTATTTTTCCTGATTATATTTAAATTCTTTGCTGCACAAGAATGCAAGTAGCAAATTTTGAGTTTCTTCATGTAGAAATATATGCAATGTCTCAGCATGGAGTTGAGTTGAGCGCGAGATGTCATATTTAATTGATCTACTACAAGCAGCGGATGGCCTATTTTTCTGTTCTCGGAACGAAGTTATATTTTAACTTATCTGAAGTATGATTAAAATGACAAATCATCAGTTAGCATGGTAACAAAAGAAGTGCAAATAAAACGAGAAAATTTGAACTGCTTAATACTGGTATACGTGCATAAGCATTTTCTTTATCTCGGGTATAAGATGGCGTTTTTGCATTCTGTGTTTTTTATTTATTGCATGATCTGTAAAATGAAGCCTTCTGATTGGTCAGTTCTTGTGCTGTACCAATCTGTATTGCTACTGAGATTGTCCCCATTCATCATCTCCGTCGCAATACAGAAAATATTGGTACGGAGGGGACATTCTCAGTAGCAATACAGACGATAACACGAGAAAAACGTTAAAGAATGATTTGAAGTGCAATACAGGATATATTCTGCTCTCGATATTCTGTATTCGTCTCGTTCCAATACTGAATTTCTCGATCAGAATATATCCTGTATTGCACTTCAAATCATTCAATAACTTATAGTATTACATACCTAGCGAAGCATTTGTATGGAAGTCAATGGGAAAGTTAGCGAGCTATATCCACCGATATTGCCCGATTACCCCGATATAGCCCGCTTACCTCGTTTTGATATTAGATTTCTTTAATAACCATGATAATATCATGACGTCACGTCATTGATACAAAGTAACCATGGGAACAAAGGCATGTAATACATCAGTTATGTCACTATGACGTGAAATATGCCTTCGTTCTTGCCCAAATATAGAGCCTCCCAAGGTCGGCCTATATTGGGAGAACTCAGGCATATTTCACGTCATAGTGACATAACCTCTTAGTATTGTGTAATAATTTATTTTATTATCCACAATAGCAGCTCATTTAAACATTGTAATTTACATTTTGAATGTTCGATAAATGTATTTTGAAATTCAAATTGGTCCGAAAACTCTCAAAAATAAGACGAACATTCGCATGTTCATTTAACATATGCTGCCGTGTTTTAAAACCACAAACTACACGTATTATGAGTTATACGTAACTTATGTGTGCAAATTGTGCCAACAAGTGGTTCTGTTAAAACGGGAGCAACGATTTATTAATATGCGGTGATTTGGTTATACATTGTGCACTTGTTCAACATTGAAGCCCTTCATAGGCGATTATCAATTACTCTCTGTAAATTACTTTCAGATAAACCTTCGCCTTCGAGTGCCGCTAATAGCTGACAGGACCTTCCGGGTTTCAAACATGGGCAGTGCACGCACGACAGCACCTAATGCGATGACGACAATGGTTCCGTCAATCTTACTCGAAACGCCCAAAACAGACATCAACATAGACGGTTTTGATCACAAAACCCGAAAATCAAAACGACTATCATACGCTGAAAAAAGATTGTCCACAGAGGACAACGATGATTTATTCTCAATACCAGATAGACGACAAATTTTTGTTGCAATAATAGTTGGTGTGTGCATACTCGTCGGATTGTTAATTTTAACATTAATTGTAGAGGTGATTATAGAGGCCACGAATGATACGGAAACTCAGCTAAGAAGTACGATGTTTACAACACAAATGAAACCCTAAAACACATGTGGTGTATATACAAGACGTCCAATGAGTACAGGATGGTCCAAAAAATTTGGAACACGTCTTTTAACGGAGACCCAAACATTATTCCTTGATACTTAATATCATAGATAAATACCAAGAATGAGGAAATGGTATCTCTAGAGGTATAAATTATTATTATATACCCAATATGTAACACTAATCATGATTGGTCAATACCTAGTCACGTGTTCCGAAATAGATTTACTATTTCCCTTGGAAAGTTATATTCCCTCAAATGTGACGTCAGCGGGAATATTTATTTGAACTATTGCCCGCTGACGTCACAATTGCAACTTCTATTACCCTTGGAAACGTCTGCGCATCATCACTGCGCAGACGAAAAACAGAAAAATGGAGGATGAGCACAAACACAAATCTACTCCGTTCACCATGACAGACGTGCGTGAACGATACAATATAAGCAACGTGTATAAAGTTCCCTAAGCTCAATACGTCTGTGTAATTTCAAGTGTTATGATAATCTATTCCGCGTGTTAAACGCGATTGAAATTGTCAAGTGAGAGTCTCAGAGGCAAAAATTTCTGTTGAGCATCTGATGACGTCACCGCTTATAATGCTAACAATGGACCCGGGGAGGGGGCTTTCTAAGCCTTTTTGGCCTTCGCAGAGGAAACGGGACAAGAGTCAGTATAGGGTATATAATAAAACAAATAGTGACTGCCTAATTTCGAGCAATAGTGTAAATGATTTCCCCTTGGGAATATCCTCTACAATGTACTATTCCCTCAGCCTGCGGCTTCGGGAATAGTACATTGTAGAGGATATTCCCTCGGGGAAATAATTTACACTATTGCCCTCAATGGCAGTCACTATTTGTATAATGTACTGATCACGTTCATATATGCTTTAACCCTTAAGTAACAGAGAAGATGTACTAATTTATGAATAAATTGTAAATATCATTTTCAACATTTATTCATTCTGTTTGTTATTAATATCGCAAAATTCTATATGTCATCCAAAGCATCTGATCAGGATTTAATAGGGCCTGCTAACATAAATGCTGCCGACGATACGTCACGCTTCCGCCCTAGTCCTGATATGCACTTGTAGTAAATTGTTTTCCTGGATGCCGACCCTATGCTCCATGACGACGATTTTGGACTCCATGTTTTAACGGATCCCCATTCCCATCTGACCGAAAATCTTGGCTAAAAATAGATTTGAGAAAACATATAGGGAGGAAGGTAAAGTACGTGGGGATGGGAGAATCAGTCCGTGCAATGGCAATTGGTAAATGCAAAGGGTTTCAACACGTACCATATTCGTTTGCCTTTTGGTTTATCTCGGTTGCTTGCAATGGCGTCGGTGATCTTACTTTTGTATATTACTATTATTTTATACTATCTAGAGTACTGAGACTACAATAACATTTGTAAAAATAAGCAATGATGGAAAACTGTCACATCTAAAGTCCGATATCACAAATATCTAAATGCAAATAAATGAAATACAATAATTTTCTGTAAATGAAATGTCAGGGTCTTCCACAATATTGTAAAACATCTGTGTATGAGCAATATATACAGGGCGTATCAAAAAAACGCAACAAGAAGTTATCTTGTAAAATCAAAAAAACTAGTGATGACGACATCAATTTCATTTAATGTATCATAAAGACACATCTCTCCTCTTTCCGATGATATGTCTATCATTCACATGTGATAATGGTTGGGTGAGAAATCCTTACGTTTACACAGTGGGTCAAAATCGGCCCTTGGCCAAGTTTTAGATATTGCAAAAATCAGTGCTAGGGCTAAGTGCCAATGGAAGTTCCTCTGAATTGAATTGTTGTGAATTTTTCTTTTGGAGCTATCTCAGGAGCATCTTTGCTCACAATTCCTCCACTAAATATTGCAAAATCTCGAGAAAGAATTGCCCATGGGCTGCTTTTCTCTGCTTTAACCCACATATGACTCGAGGCTGAACCATGCATGACGTGGGCAGATGAGCGCATCTTTATGTGGAAGGAAGTGGTGGCAATTTGGAGAGGTATAGGATATATTCTTGCAAGAGTATGAGTATGGACACTTTACTGTCTATGCCACACCTGTCACATCTTCTTCCAATAGCCCCTATGCCCTTTGTACTGGCTTTTGCAATTTTAAAACTTGGGTCCGAGCTGAATTTTGCCCCACTTTGCAAAATTAATGATTATTCGGCCAGTCATGACTCCCTGTGAATGAATGATAATCCATTGCAAAGAGGAGTAATTTGGCTTTTTGGTACATTGAATGAAAAGGATGCAGTCAGCATTGGTTTTATGTTTTTTTTCCAATATTGCATCAGGCTCCGTACACTGACTTTTACGATGTTTATAACTTGGCCAAAAGCTAATTTTGGCCCACTTTGCAAATGGAATGATTACTCGCCCGACCATGACCAAATATCATTGAATGATATATCATTGTGAAGAGGAGACACATGGCTTTATGGTGCATTGAATGAAATTAATGCTGTTATCATTGGTTTTGTGCTTCCCCGAGATAACAATCTGTTGCGTTTTTTTATGCGCACTGTATACCGTGCAATATATTGCTCAATTGTTCACAAATAAAGCAATATTATAAAGTCTACCTACCGGCCACCAGCTAACTTTTACTCTGACTTTAGTGCGAATCTGATACCACGCTGAGATGCTAACGGTCATGGGATCATGCCCGTGGTAAAGACCGACACATGTTGAAGTAAAGACACCTACCCGTCCATCACCCTCGACAAGATAATTGAGGTTTACACTGACTCTGATACCACCTCTGACGACTGACTATAAAAAGTAAAACCAGTACTATTTTGATTGTATTTTTTCGCTATAATATTATTATGGCAATATTAATTGAAATATAATCCTACATTTTTTTATAAAAAAAACTTATTTCAAATAATTAAAACATTTGGTTGAGATTTCAGGGACCCATACTACTGCCTCAATGATAGCTTAGCAATATAAGGAATAAACACTTGATGTGTTAGTGTCCCCATTCGCCTAATGTATACTAAAATTTCTGATTGATTCCAATGGCATATTTTAATTAATTATTAATTTTTCCCTTGAGCGCGCCTATGCCTTCACAAACATTATTGTTCAACTTACTGCCAAACTAGCTGTAGCTCCTCCAGTTATTTGTAGAGTCACTTTCGGAGTAACTTTGGCACAGACTGCACACCCAGTGGAGCAAGGATACACCTTCACCGTAAAGTGTACACCTGGTTTTATGGTAATACTCAGAGTTAAAGAACCAACGTATATATTGATACCCCATATGTCGATATTCCACTGCCAATATTTTGACCACGTTTGCGAGTAAGATGGCACGTTGTACGTCAGTGTATAATCAACATGAGTCTTACTTCCGATCTTTAAGTAAGCTCGTAACTTTAACGATGTTCCATATTTGTACTGGTAAAAGTGGGCTGACACGATCGAGAAACTTTTCCCGAGAACATGTGCATCGGCGTAAACCCTTGCAAAGAGCTTCCAATTACAATACCGTCTGTCAATTCCTGCGAACGCCCCTGCGTAAAGGTTGGCATTAGCACTACTGACACCGATATAAAAGTGGGCCAAGCAGTGCATGTTGTCTGGATATCTCAAATTATCTGTTGAAAAATCGGCAGGAGTTTGTATGCTCGTGTACCGGGAGCCATATGGCCCCCATATTGAACAAGAATAGTGGGATAGACCGCGTTTCGATTTACCACCAGAGGTCAAAAAGCCTTTGCCTTTGTTATCAGGTTTGTCGCTAAAATACTTAATTATTTCATCATGTATACAATGGAAATCTCCGATGTTGTCGTTATATATTTCCTTTAGTCTCAAGTCAAGACTGTTGTATGTCTCTCTTGGCCACGACCCATGTTTGCCTTCGACAATATCGCTACTTATTTTATCCCTCATGCTCCCAATAACTGTTAGTTTAACGTCACACACGGCATTTTCAATCAAGAACGTGTAGTATTCAATTACACGTTGATCTGAGCAAACTTCTGCCAATGCGTGGACTGTTCCCATAACCAACGCGGGTTTATTCGTGCAATCTTTTCCTATTTGAATCATACGATCTATAATCGCCGGATCTGCGAGGTTTCCAGTGGCTTCTAACACATTAAATACGCTATCATCAGCTTGACAGTTGTCCTTGTTTATATTCGCTACTTTGTCGAGCATTGATTTAGTTATCGTCGCTCGCAATTCTTCACTAACAGATCCTTCGCCGGCTAATGCAGTCATTGTAAACATTAAGGTCACTTTCACTTCCTCTGAACGTTCCTCTTGATACTTCTTCCTGACAGCGTTCACTAATGATTCGCTGGGATTTCTCATTGAGGTTAACATTGACAGGAATTCATTGACGTTTTTATCAGAAAGTTTCATCATCAACATTGCTTTGATCATCTACAATTTTTATTAAAGCGGAAATGGATTTGCATATATGTACAAAAAATATGTTATAGTAAAATGTTTATATCAAATTCAATATGAAAAAGGTGTTTTGATCATAACGATTCAGAATTGTTCTACATACACATTATTTCATATAATATTGACAAATCTTAATGATTTTTTACCAGCGATGCATCATTCAAGTATCTGTCATTAAAATCTGAAGACAACTGTTTGGAATATAATTCAAAAATAGGAATTGTGGTGGAAGGTGATTTTTTAATCAATTTTAATTTCTTTATCACCTGTGACTAATCGATCAAGTGTCATAAAAAAGGAGAATGACTCAGAAGACATTGATCCTTGCATAGAACAACAGTCGTGTCATTCTCTTTTCAGACTGCTGAGGTTAAGATGTCTCTCAACGTCAACATCGATGGACCCTGGCCAGTGCACTCTCACGTGATTAGCTTAAAAGTATAGCCCAATCCATGCTTGACCATATAAATGTCTTTAATTCAAAGCATGAATAAAATAAAATGACATAAGTTAAAAGAGAAATTAGATTGCAACTGCAGTTTGTCACTATATCTATGGAATGTTTTCTGCTTCATTATTCGTATTTTACTATATCTATTCGTAAATTGAACTTCTGTACTTGTTAAATGCACATTTATTTTCGTAACTTGAGTATTTTCATTCATTGTTTGCCTTTTCTGTTCGTTAATCTATTTTGTTTCGTTAAAACGTATATGTATGTGTTTTATACTGAAATACATTCAAAAGTCCTTAAACGCATTTGTTAGTGACACATTGTTTATCCGTATACAAATAAAATGAGTTCATTTTGTACCTTTATCATTGTTTCTGCAAATATATTAATTTGATATCTAAGAACTGAATGTCGAATTTATCAATGAATAGGTACTAGTCTTGGCATTTTTATTTTTTAATTGTCGAATCTATTTTCGTAACACGGTAATATGTTTTCGTAAAAGTGCACATTTATTGTTCGTAAATATTGTCATTTATATTCGTAAATTGCACTTTTATATTCGTTTTTAATTGGTTTTTTAAGATCACGTGATCATTCTCAACGAGACATGGTCACCCCATGGTCAAAGTCATCGCCCCCTCCCCCTCACATGTCACGTCACGTGACCTTTGCCTCGAGACTTGCAGTTTATATTCGTTAATTCACATTTGTATTCGTAAACTCACATTTATATTCGTTAAGTTTCATTTTATCATTCGCTAATGTACGAATATTCCTTTGCTTTCTGCAACAATTCATGGGTAATATGCCAGCTTATTATTGGTAAAAATACATCTCTTCGATAAAATAACAGGCAATTTTGGGGAAATCTATGAATTGTAAGCTGTAGTAGGCGAATAATAAATTGTTAGTTACAAATATTTCTAGTCCTTACAAACATAAAATGCACCAGAATTTAGTATATGTTTGTTTATTTGATACATCATATTTGTATTTGTAATTTGGGAATTTTATTTGTAAATGTTACATTAATATTCGTATAAGGGAATTTATTCTAAACGAATAATGAAGCAGTTATGACGCTATATATATCTGATAACAGATTTGATTAGCAAATTGTGTTTCTTTCCTGCGTAAATAAAATGATAAAAAAGAAAAAGGCTTAGCACTAAGCTAAATGATAACTATGATTATGAAATTGAAATATGATGCGAATACGTGTCACATCAATTTTGACACATTGAAATGGCATACATTATGTACAATAACCATCATGAACGGATATTTGATTGAAATTTGTGTTGTAATTACTGGTCCTTGGGAACCCATAACCCTTTCATGAAAGTGAAGGTGTATAAAAATCTAAAGTATATCTCCTCTTCAAATTATCAAGGTTTGAAGATAGTTGAATAACATATCACGTCATGTGATATGATCAAAGATAATTGTCCATTCAACGCGTCTGTGTTAAAACCGTAGATAACTTATTGATCTTCCTATAGCCTGGTTACCTACCTTTTCACCTGCAGCTTGACCGCCAACAATGTAGAGATTGACGATACCTTTACACAGTTCCCATTGAGTGAGACAGTCGGTCAATTTCTAAAAAAACATGAATATCTATACTCGTATATTAGTCCGGGCTGTTAAGTGGTCTCGTGGGAAATTTTTGTTACAGCTTGGCAACATAGTGTACTTTATAGAGTTTGAGGTGCTGAATAAGAATTTTGATGTTGCCAAATCTGTAACATGAATGTTGTTGCTAGGGGCAACCATTTCCATAGCAACCACAAATTTTACCTTGCAACGGGCCTAAAAATACAAAAGTTGTTGTAGATTTTTTTAGTTATAATCATTTTTGATAATATTTATTGTGAAGTAAAGGGAAGTAATAGGGGAATTTGTTATTCAACACAATTTGGTTAACAATTGATTTTTGAGCTATTGTGATGTCATAATAGCCCAAATTTTGTTATTTTTCCTAATTTACATATAATTCCACATTACAATTACTTTTTTTACCTCTTCAAAATACCGGAAGTAGGTAAGCCATTTGCTACATTTGTTATTTCTGATGTGCTCTTTCCAGCGATGGCTTTGGATTTGCATGAAAATAAAACAATCTTGTTCTAGGAATGATTGAAACTAGGGTGGTATCTGAATAGAATGACGTTAATCTACCCTAATGACAAACCTACTTTTCGAAATATTTTGATTCTATGTATTTGCGGCTATATGCAAGAAATGTTTTCATTACTATTGCAATTTTTGTTTCAAAGTGGTTAATAAATATTTTATTGTGGTAAACAGGAGTTTCATGTTGCTGGGTACAGGGGCGGATCTGGGAATCAACAAGGGGGGGGGCCCAAATTCAAGTCCGAGAAAAAAATGTCCGCGCTTGCGCGGAAAAAATTTTTGGGCCCCTATTACCCAAAAGTGGGCCCAAATTTTGAAATTTTGAGGCCCATTTTCTTCAAAATTTGGCCTGAAATTAAAAAATAAGGCCTTAAAAGGCCCAGTAGTGACCAAAAAGGCCCACTTTTTGAGGCCTGAAGGCCTTTCTTGGCCAAAATTTTTTATTGGGCCCAAATTTTTTTTCTGGGCCCACCCAAGGGGGGGGGGGCCCGGGCCCCCAGGCCCCCCCCCTAATCCGCCAGTGGGGTATGATGTTGAGCACCATTGCTATGGAGACTATTTCCTTAGCAACCAGCCATGACCATGTCCTTTAAGCTTGATGTTGAGATTGAAAACTTTTACTAAAATAAAGTTATTGTTTACAATTTTTAAGGTACATGTTGACGATGATATCCAGTCAAACTAAAAAGTATAAGTAATGACAGCATCTCAATTTTTTGTAATAAAACCCCATTATGATGTCATTATGGACCAGTACTTTGACAAACGCGCTTTCATCAATTGGTTAATAAGTGGTTTTATAATGCTAAGTCATTTTGATCAACTGAATAAAACATGCCTGGATGAACAGCAGTATAATTAATATGTTTAATCAGGATAGATGGTTGGATATTATGTATGTTAAGGTTTTAACTTGTATTATTGTTGCCTAGCAACCACATGACAACAGGAAAAATTAAAGAATAACATGGATGGAGTTTCATTAATTGACTGGGCGATTGCTTAACATGATTCAGGAAGATTCCCATTGGAAAGACCATGTGACATCATGAATAGTGTGATTGACAACCTGGAAAGACAGGTAAATTTAATGATGGGTTCAGGAAACAGGGCATGTAAGTCATGGCCGTGATGCCACAAACACAATGTTGATATTAGAGAATCAGTAGTTTGCTCTGTAGCTCAAGTGGCAGAGCACTCGGCGTGTAATTGGGAGGTTGTGGAAAAAGCTAGTATGTCTTTGCTGTATTTTTAATGACTTATTTTGATAATCTAGTGGGGAAAATCCCTTTGGGGTGGCCGAAGTGGGGAAAATCCCTTTGGGGTGGCCGAAGGCTATGCCCAAATTTTCTGTAATTTCAATTTTATTTCAAAAGTCCGCTTGGAAAATCCCTTAATGTGGCCGAAGGCTATGCCAAATTTTGCTCTATCTATAATGGTTTATTTTGATGTTGTAATAAGATGATCCATTCGGGTTTGCCTAAGGCTATATGTCAAATTTTTGTCTTATTGTTCATTTCAATTCTGTTTTGTATATTGTTATATTAGTCAATATTTAATTGTATGCCTACAATTGGCCATAATGGCCAAACTGTTCTTGTGCATTTTCTCTTCTCCAAAATTCAAAACACTGCAATTTCCTAAAGATTCCCTTTACCTGTTTAAAAGAAGGAATGTCGTCATATGAACTGATACACTGTGTGTTTCTTACATGTATATTACGTAGAGTGTCTGAAACACTTTAAAAATCTTGAAAATCTGTCAGATCTCTTATAATCTATGAACATTGAAATAATTCAAATATAGTCTAGAATATTTTCAAAATAAAAGCCTCTAGAAAGAGAGAGTTCTTACATTTTTGCGAGCACCCTAGAGACCTGTATCAAAATAATCCTTTATATCTTACAAACGATTTGTGAGATTTGCCAAAGTGAGCGAGGTGTCGAAAGGCACTAATTAGACGATTAATTAGTATAGCATTCCTCATTTCTTAACTAGTTCAATCAATACAACCAGTGTTGATCACCACTTAAATGCCAAAACAGCTATGGTCAATGTGTCAATTGTTTCATGCTGGACATGTGCCAGTGTTTTGAAAAATCCATAGATTACAGTACTCAATCTGGTTTGATTAATTTTACTGAACTAGTAAACCCAATAATCAGAATCACACTACAGCATTGCAGCATTATCTGATCCTGAGATTCTCTCATAAGGGAGCTACTGTATTTATAAGTTATAATTATCACACAAAAGTACATGCTTATTTGATATACCGAATGGTTATTTTACTATACTGTAATTAACCCATAATCAAGTCACGTTGTATTATGTGTTAAATAAGGTAGTCTTGCTTCAAGCCTCTGTGACCCCTCCCCCCTCTACTTGAGTAAACATCTTCTCACACATTGCCTGAGCTAGACACACAACAGTGCAATTAAGAAAGGATATTTTGATGTACCAAGCTAAGAGGATACTTGGTCTTGATCTTGACTTGTGTGCCATGACTGTAACAAAGAGTTTTCGTAACATGCTTGATATTTAAAATTGATGGTACCAATGAAATTACAGGCAATAAATAAATGAGAATAATTATGAAATAGAAGATGAAGGTAAAAATCACATTAAGATATATGTCAAATGTACTTGTATTAATCATGAGTTCTACATTCATACCAGACATACACTGCACAATGGAATGCAACGCTTATTGGTCAGTGCCAATGAGCCCAGTGTCTAGGATCAAATGTACTGCTAGGTGCAAATATGATAAAAGATTGATGCAGTTCAAATCTTTGCTAATTGTTAATATTAAATACTATTTGAATCAACAATTAACATTGTTAATGGTGATGCTTTCAGTGTTAGTGTTAATTTGATTGAGAGAAGTATTTTAAAGATAATTTTGTATCAAAGGATTTCCTATTTATGATCAATTTTTACAAATTTCATTGACCACGTATCTTCAGCTTGTAATAGAGGATACATTAAAATATTCATTGTAGATATCCACTACATCACAGATAATTATATGGTGTTTTCATTAACTAACTTTAGAACTGGAATATACATAAAACAAAGGGTATACATAGCTTTCTACCAGCTGAGGGGGGAGGCTGCGATCGTATTATTTTAAAAATTGGTGCAACTCCTTCAAAATTGAGCTAGAAACTTCAAAAAGCATTCTAAACCTCTCATCTCTTTTATTGGTTTTATTGAGATCGCACCAACCGCAACCCCCTTAACTCCTTGCAGTAACGTTAATTCAAGTGCCTTTGAATCGCAAGATACAAACCACAAGACAATACCTCAAACAGCTTCGAAAATCTCTCAAAATTGATAACAAATAGTTGTTCTCACTTGTTTTATAATCAATCGGACTATATTTGTTAAAATTTAATTTCAAAAAAGATATTTCAATTTTTGAATTTCTCTTGTAAAAACGCATTTCACCCGAAACACATTTTGACACCTATTTCATCTTGGTAAATCTCAGTATCAATAAAGGAACCCTTGATTAAACATGGTATATTTCGTCAACAAGACTGTATTTCATATAATAGTTTTTTTAAAAATGTTTTTTTTAACATAAACTTATTTTTGCAAAAACTCATTTTTTACCCAAAAACTTACTTCGTCACCTATTCCATCTTGGCAAATCTCAGTATCAACAAAGGGACCCTTTACTCTTCAATTCGTATATGCCATGATTAAGCTGCTCGTCAAAATATGTTAATGGTGTCATCATGTTTTGAACACACTCGTTTTAGTTTATATTACATGCAAATCACAAAGAAAAAATTGTTAAGCTCCCAAAATCCCCTTAGTTGATTAAACATGGTATATTTTGACTTTTGAGAGTCAACTAGACTGTATTTTATATAATAAATTTTCAAAAATATATTTTTATCAATTTAATTTTGTTTTTGCAAAAAACGCATTTTTTACCCAAAAACTCGCTTTGACACCTATTTCATCTTGGCAAATCTCAGTATCAATAAAGGAACCCTTTACCTTTCAATTATTAACCATGGTTAAGCTGCTCGTCAAAATGTGTTAACGTTGTCATCATATTTTGAACACACTCGTTTTAGTCGATATTGCATGCAAATCCCAAAGAAAAAACTATTAAGGTCCCAAAGTCCCCCCCAAGTTGATTAAACATGGTATATTTAGACTTTTGAGAGTCAACTAGACTGTATTTTATATAATTAGTTTTCAAAAATATTTTTTATCAATTTAAAAAAAAAATTTGCAAAAAACACATTTTTTACCCAAAAAGTCACTTCGACACCTTTTTCATCTTGGCAAATCTCAGTATCAATAAAGAAACCCTTTACCTTTCATTTGATAACCATGGTTAAGGTGCTCGTCAAAATGTAAGATGTCATTTTATTTTATACATGCCTATTCTAGACTAATAAGAGAAAGAACCATGTTGATATATAATAATTTTCACCTTTCCTGCAATATTGCAATCTCATTAAAGTTTCATGCTAGTTTGTGCAATTTAATTTTTTTAGTTCAAATAAATAATTCTTACTTTTGATATTATTTTTAAGAGGTAAAAAAAGTAATGTGCTCTTGGTATTCTGACTGAATGCTGAATGTGAAAAATGCCCCAACTGACCGCTACTATTTTTCTTTTATTAGACTCCAGATGCAAATCTGGAGTCTATTGTTTTTGCTTCTTTTCTTATTAGACTCCAGATGAAGTCCGGAGTCTATTGTTTTTGCTTCTTTTCTTGTTATTAGACTCCAGATGAAGTCTGGAGTCTATTGTTTTTGCCAGTATTCTTATTATTAGAATGCCGGTTTCGAAGACAGTCTACAATCTTGAGTCTTAACTTAGTTCACAATTTACCATTCTAGTTATTCTTAAACATAGCACGTTCTCTCAACAACCATAAGACATTCAGTAAAGACAATCATATGGTCAATTAAAGTACTATATCTAGTTCCTAGGAAATTTGTTCAATGTTTTATATAGGTCAATAACTAGGTAAAATCCAGTACTTTGTCACTTATTAAATTTTCATGGTCATCCTTCTATATTTTCACTCCGGTTTTTTTCATTGTGTTCCTCATAAAAAAGTAACATAATGTAGATTTGTAGCCGATTTCGAGATATCAGTGTCTGAAAACGAGGTCCGAAAAAAGTACTACTTCCAGTTTATGAGCTATGATCAATGTAATAAATGTATCAAATCAAAAAATCAAATCATATAATATCATATCAATCATATTGATCATATCATATCATATATCATATCAAATAATATCATATAACATATCATTATCATATTAAACCATATCATATAACATATTATATATCATATTATTTAATATCATATATCATCATATGATATGTCATATTGTATATCATATCGTATATCATATCATATATCATATCGTATATCATATCGTACATCATACTGTATATCATATCTTATCCTATTATATCATATCGATCATATCATATATCATATCATATAGCAAATCATATCATATCATATATTATATTTAATCATATCATATAACATATTATATATCATATCATTTAATATCATATAACATCATTTGATATATCATATCGTATATCATATTGTATATCATGTAATATATCATATCGTATATCATATCATATCAAATATCATATTAAATCATATCGTACATCATGCTGTATATCATATCATATATCATAAAGTATATCATATCGTATATCATATCATATCAAATATCATATTAAATCATATCGTACATCATACTGTATATCATATCATATATCACATCCTATTATATCATATATCATATAGTATAATATCATCTCATATTTCATATCATATATCATATATCATATCATACATCACCTATTTAAAACCTATCTATCTATCTAAAAACTAAAGACAATTTAAAAAAAAATCAGTCATCTGGAGTCTGAAATTGAACTTTTTCCAATTTCTAGTTGTTATTTGAAATATTAGCTTCAAAATTAATGAACCATTAAACCATCTAAAGAACCATTTCAAATACCCTCTAAGAAATATGTATTGAAGACCCATCAGAACAAAGCAATCAAAGATCATGTACATGTTGTCCACCTAAAACACATGGTGATTCCTTTTCCCTTTTTTCAGGAAGGCCAATTAAATCATGTCAGACTCTGCATTTCCTGCCACTCTTCCAACATAGTCAAGAATCCAAATCCAAAATCATGTGACCTCTTCTATCAACGACTTAAAGTACGTGTACAACACGGAGATTCAAAATGCATTGAAATCAATGATAAACTGTCAAACCAAAGAGATAACGAGAACAAAAATGTGTCATGGTGCCGTGGCTGCTATAGTGAAGTAGTGAACATCAATAAACTAAAAAGATTTGAAGACAAGTACAACAAAAAACAAGAAAATCTAGCCAAAATATCAACCAGTCAACAGTCAGTGCCAGCACTTGAAACAAGTGCCAGTGTTTATCTGAGATCCTCAAATAAGACTAAAGCAGGGAGAGGAGAAGCATGTATTTTTTGCTCAAAATCTGGGAAAAAGTTAAGAAGGGCTGGTGAAGATGTCAGGAAATATTTGACAAAAATTGCTAAGTCAAATTCAGAATGGTCAGTGAGGCTACAGAGCAAAAACATAGTATACCACCTTGCCTGTTATGTTCAACACCAAAGGTCAGTGTCCTCTCATAAAGGAGGCAAAGATGATGTCCAAAGAGCATTTTTGCAATCAGTACGAAGTAAACTTGACCAAAGTAGTTCATCTGAGAACAGCATTGACATGTCCTCAGTTGAGGAAATATATTCCGATGAAATTCGGAAACATGGAATTGATGATATTCAACAACCTCACAGAAAAACAATAAAACTCTTGCTCAAGGGGAGTTTCAATGACATTGAATTCACTAGGCCAAAGCAGCTTAATAAATCAGAATTGGTGGTCCTCCCAAATTCCAACACACGCACTGGATACAATTAAAGAGACAGCAGACATAGTTCGCAGTGATATTTTACTATCGAGATCTGATTGGAAATTTCAAGGCTCACTGCAGCAAAACAACATTCCTCAATCACTAAGAAACCTTATCAGTCTACTCCTCTATGGTGATATTGGCAGTAGGGAAGGAAATGGTGCCTCTTCTGAAGTAATGGTGAAGACACTATGCAACCAAATCATATATTCAGTACAATCTCCAATACAGTCTAAAAAGTTTTACCAATGTCAGAATGAATTTCTATTTTTAGGCCTCTTTCTGTGCTTACAGGTCTGGTTGCTATGGAAACCATTGCAACCAGAAACAGTTTTCCAATTACTGATGTGTCCATATCTGAATTTCTTAACCAAAGACATCATTGAAACAAATATAGTAAAATTAGCACAGTAACAAGCATTTACTTTGTTGAAATACAATTATTTTCATGGGGATGAAAAGGAAAACTAAAATGTGAATTTATTTGAGTTTGAAAAAGAGCCCAATTCGAGCTATCATGAGTCATGACATCACAATGGCGAACAAATCGATTGTTTAAACGTAATTCCAAGTTTTCCTTATTTTTCTTTAATTTCTAGTAATGAGCAGGAAAATGATAAAAACTCTACAATGTACTGCTTCCTCATGTATTTTATGTCTATTTCTAAGCTAAAAGTACGATTTCTATGGACACTGTTGCCCCTAGCAACGACACTTAATTTTACAGACTGCAACATCAACAACTCCAACTAAATAAAATGCACAACTGCCAATTTGAAACAAAACTTGCATAAGATGAGGAAACATTTCAAATAAAAATATATCATAAATTAGTAATTCAAAAAATTGTGAATGTTATGTTATTTAGATCTATGAAATTGCACTATTGTAGTGGCCCCCTAGTTTCAATCACCCCCGGAACAGAATGGTTTTATTTTCATGTAAAGTCAGTGCCATAGCTGGAAAGAGCACATCAAAATTAACAAATGTCCCAGACATTTACCTACTTTCGGTATTTTGAAGAGGTAAAAAAAGTAATTGTAATGTGGAATTATATGTAAATTAGGAAAAATAACAAAATTTGGGCTATTATGACATCACAATAGCTCAAAAATCAATTGTTAACCAAATTGTGTTAAATGACAAATTCCCCTATTACTTCCCTTTACTTCACAATAAATATTATGAAAAATGATTATAATTAAAAAAAATCTACAACAACTTTTGTATTTTTAGGCCCGTTGCAAGGTAAAATGTGTGGTTGCTATGGAAATGGTTGCCCCTAGCAACAACATTCATGTTACAGATTTGGCAACATCAAAATTCTTATTCAGCACCTCAAACTCTATAAAGTACACTATGTTGCCAAGCTGTAACAAAAATTTCCCACGAGACCACTTAACAGCCCGGACTATATTGCATAGTAAATTCATTTGTTCTCAAAATGTCACTACTAAAAGTAACCAAAAGCTCAATATTTAATTCACACAAATTCAACAATTCGCATTCTTGGTACAGGGTGTCCAAAAAACAGGACCGTAAGAAAGTTGAATAATTCGGTCAATTTTGCATATTTTGCCTTGAATTATTTAGTTCATTTAATGTGATTTTTGTTCTGAAAGTTTGATGATAATCTGTTTTTGTGTCAAAAACTACAGTACTTTACAAAACATTCTCAAATGGGCACTTCTCTCTATGCACAAATGAATCCTGCGAACAAAGTTATTAATGACCCTGACCTGACACATCAATGCGGATGGTACATGTTGGGGTTGTTATTGCCCACTTAAGATTGTTAGGGGACTGTCGGTATATACATTGGCTTTGAGAAATCCCCAAAAGATAAAGATCTGGGGATTTAGATCTGGCGAATGAGCTGCCCATATGGTTTGCGTTCTGCGACTGATGAGCTGACTACCAAAGCATTGCCTTAACCATTTCAGCATATCATTTGCATTGTTGGGGTGGTATTGGCTTGTTTGAACCACTGCTTATCTCCTTAGATGCCCCTTCTTGTGCTCAGTGACCTCCAAAACTTAGTGAGAACTTGAATATACTGGTCCGTGTTCATTGTGATAGCACGCCCCCAGTCATCTTCGAAACCAAAAAGGACTGATGATCCCATGTTTGCTCATTGCCACCCAGGCATGGCATTGTACATAATGCAATGGATGCTGTAACACTTCATCAGGAGGATGTAAGCCCCAGTATACGTAGAAATTGTTCTTGGAATAAACTTGTCCATTCAGAAAGCCATGCGTGTAGGAGGATCATCAACAACTTTGTTCGCCGGATTGAATTGTGCATAGAGAGGAGAGGTGCACATTTGGGGCATGTATTGTAAGGAATTGTAGTTTTCGACTCAACTGGCAGATTATTATCAAACTTTTACAACAAAATTCACATTGAATGTATTGAATCTACTCAACTTTCTTACGGTCCTGTTTTTGGACACCCCGTATATACGACTGAGTACTCACCGATTTTGTTTCCTTAACAACTCTGTCGATCAAACTGACACGTGGTGCACTTTCTCCTTTCTTGAGGTTAATGCTGTCATGGTCTTTGGAAGACGCACGTTTTGCACTTATGATATTTTCAAGCTGTAATGCTTCTCTCAGGTGACGTACTGAAAATTGAAGGAATTGAAGACGAACAATGTATAGTATAAAATTATTTAATGTATCATCAACTATTCTTGAAAGATATTATTTTTATTTCAACTGTATTTTTACCCTATGAATATATACAAAACTTACACTTTTATTCTCATGGCTCATAAATAACTAATAAATCAAGTTCAATTATGAACGAAACCAAGAGAAACCCTGTCCACTTGACCATTTTCCATAAAGTTATTAGAGAAAAATTAAAATATGGCAGTGTGAGAGCTGTTACAAGTTTAATATCCTGAGATGTAGCAGAAAATCATTTAATTTCTTGATTCTTCAAATATTTCCATTTGGATTCATGTGAAACTCGATTGGCTATATGACTATATGATATAACACAAAAAATCGTGACCATCAAATTTGATATTTAAAGCCATTCAACATTGTGTCAATTGGGAGATACTGGAAATTTGAAGAAATGTAAATAACTGTGCAAATCAAAGTTGATTTAATAAAAAACAAAATGTAGAATTCAAAAATGCCATCAAAATGAAGAAAATTTTCGTCTATGGAGGTTAAAAATGCAGATATCCTAAAATCGCATTAAAATGAGACTATGACGAGATTTCAGACCTATATGGCAAAACCTCAATAAATGGCTGCCATGCAATTTTATGCTCATAAAATCAGAATTTAAGCCCGTCAAAATACGAATGACTCACATATATCTACGTCCGTGGGGTTAGCATAGAATCGCTTAAGAATCTTTACTAATCCCTCTTCTTCGATGAGTTCTAAAAGCTTTTGATATCTGTGCTTCTTGGCGTTTTCTGAAAGGAGATAGAATGACATGAAATTTGTGAACTGCAACACAAGAGGGCTGTGAACTGTCGGCTCTGGTCGAAACTGTCTATGACCCTCTCAATGTGGAATTAATCAGGTCATTACTGAATAAATGAGAAAAACTGTTCTGTCTTGTTTATGCTTACATATGAATAAAATACGACAGGATAAAATTTAAGAAGTATATATAATTATATATATATAATTATTGCTCAGATTTTACGATGAACTCTGGAAACGGAATCGTGGATGTTTGAAACTTGAATCAGTTAAAATTATTTAATATAGGAACAAAAGCCTTACCTCGATTAAAATCTCCAAGCAGTGAAGTTGTTACAAAGGAATCTTCACTTTGGCTGGTATTAAGTTCCACCATGCGTGTTTTGCGATTTAAGGATCGTTTTGTTTTGTTTTCTAATATCATATCAAACGTATTGTCAGAATCAAAGTTATCAGCGATGTCGACATCGTTCGCTCTTATATAGATAGTATGAGGATTATTTTCCTCGTTATCTCTTTTTTCCTAAGAGAATAATAATTCAAATATGTGATCGAATGAAAACAGTGTGGCTCATTACAAAAAAGATGCTAACATTCTTGATCAGTTGAACGGAATTATATTTTACGCATAATAATATTGCTTCGTACATTATGCAATTTGAATCTGGAAAATAGTTATTTTAGAAAAAACTGCACATTAATCAGCATGTTTATTTAGCTGAATATTATTAAATCAGGTCCCGAAATACATTTTTAATAATTTAATAAATGTGTTTCAATAGTTGAATTACCTTCTCTTTATTTCTCTTTAGTCTTATCTTTATGACACCTTTAGACTCAGTGATTCTGTTTGTCTCGTCAACTGTCAATTCTTCCTCAACATCGACGTCGATGCTATCTTTATTAACGTCATTATTACCAAACCTTTTCATATCGTCTGTCTTGTATGATTTTCTGATCTTTTTAGTGTGATTAAAATGCATAACTCTAAAATATTGATAAAATAGATATCAATATACGTTCGTTTATTAAGCTGTTCTACCAGCAATTCAATTGGCCTTCTTGGATTATTCTTTAATATATCCGAGTATATTCAAGCTTAAGATTGTTAAATGCTTCTCTAAGATGTCATACTTTAACTTTGATATTTGGTAGTAGTAGTTCCGGTCCATCTATATACATTTAGCCAACATTTTTAGATTTTTAGATAATCAAACGTGCGAGTGGAAACTAACTTAAAATGTGTTGTATGTTCACCAAGCACGTCTGTCTCGTCCACATCTTTATCTTGATCATCATTGTGTGTTTGGAATGCACTCAGCACACCCTTTTTGAAATTAACAACCTCCGTGTTCTCTAAAATAAAAGCGTTTGGTGCATGCCAAAAATGTTTTCATCATCAATTATAGCAAACAAATCAAAGCGGATCAAAATTGTTCACAGACAGCATCCTTTTTCCATATAAATCGAAAATAGATGGCATCATGGGGTATTGGTAGGGCTATGGTAGGGCTAGAATACATGTAAATGTATTACCAGAGTCACTTAATCTTTTCATTTAAGAAGTAATTCCATTTGGATCAACCCCATTGGAATATAACTATATAATCTTAATGACATGTGGATTGTGATTTCGTATTAAAATTGTGATCCTTGTGAGAGTAAATGAACTTTTAAAGGTTTTTCAGCATTGTGTCAATGGGGATTTAGCCCGACCTTTTTTTAGACAACTATAAAATCATTAGAATTTGAATAAAGATAAATAATGGTGCAAATCAAAATTGTTTTGGTAGAAAATTACACACAGAATTCAAATATGCCATCAAATAAAAGAAAATGTTAGTCTTTAATGGTTAAAAATGAAGTTCTCCTAAAATCTCATTAAAGACGAAACTTTAACAAGATTTCAAAGCTATATGGAAAAAGGACAATTCGCAAAGTAAAACATTAGATGACCAATGGGAGCGATGTTAGAAATGGAATATTAAAAATACAATTTCTACACATCTATATATCAAATGTGAAACGTTTTCAATATATAATTGTTAAAAGCAGTAGATTATTCAAAAAGATTGTCACCCTACACTTACCCAAATCAGACTTCTGAAATTGTGCCTCAGCAATGCTACCATCACTTCTTTGAATGAAGCGGAATGGTTTCTTATATAATTCATCAAGAGGTCGTTTCTTCACCCGTTCGCCTGCTGTCTTATTTACGTCAGGTTTATCTTTGATCACTTTGCCATCCCTTTGGTAGATTAGCATTATTACTTGAAGTACTAACGACAGAGACATGTTATATTCGGAAGAAACTAATAATATATCAAGGTTTAAATAATGCAGACAAATGCATCTATATAAGGAATATATTTTAGCTTACCATTTTTTCTTATTCATTTGCGAAATCATGTTATTCTTTATAATGCTGTACCATCCAATAATGATATTAAGAGTTATAAATAAAGTATGTTGAAATCTATGATAAACTTTACCACACAAACATAAAAATGAACATGGTAGTGATTTACCATATACGGGGTGTTGCATATGTATGCACCTCCCTCTAGACTCATTCATGTAGCATTACCACCCTTTCATGTTATATATCATTGTTTCCTTATGAAAAATTACATAAGACAAAGTTTCAAAATCAATTAGGGGCGTCCCTGGAAAGGATAAAATGTATCAAAGTATGTGGATATGGGTAATTTATAAGCATTTTTTAAGCATTTTTGGACCCGGTCCGGTGATCTACATTCATTTTGTCCTTTGCCCATTTCTAGTGATAAAGGTGGTACTATGGCCCCTGGCCTCCCTTTAAGCCACTGCACAAATCCCGTCTATATCTATTTGTGAAGAACTGTCACAAACATATTGACTGAACTCTTTCATGATGACAACTGCAAGAAATGTCTAATTCGGGAACTAAATTTGTCCTTCGAATTGCCCTCAAAATGACCGGAAATTGCCCCTAAATAACCCCGTACCCACATTCTTTGATACATTGTACCTTTTTCAAGGACACACTTGAATTCCGAAACTTTTCAATCTTATGTAACTTTCTATGAGGAACAAATTTAATGATTTATAACATGATATGATGGCGATGCTAAATATAAAGAGGAATGTACATACTTGTACATATGAAAACCCTGTATATTAGTCATCGTAATCTAAGCAAAGAAGAGTCTACGTTACATGATATACTAGTCGGACGTTTATTATTACAACCGTGATTGAAGTTAGCGGCCGATCAACATAAAATCTTACCTTATAGGATCTATCTTTATATGATGCATGTGGACCAGATAGAGAACTGCCCCAGTTCCCTCGTAGGGTCCCCCAGCAACTGGAAATGATTTTAAGGTTTTAAAATACTATTTTAAATAATAAATAATAAACTAAATTAATAGTAAATAAATAAAGTGATAACTGAAACCTCCAAGGACAATAACAAACGAAGCAAAGTTGAATTTACATTTTGGTCATTTCGATCATACATCACAAGCATAACTGTAATCACGACAAAGTTGTACATTTTTAAAAAATGTTAATCAATCAATTTTGTCTTGAATTCAACACAAAGTGTATATAAGACGTTTCGTCAACTTACGTCCTATTTCGTCCACCTCTACAATTGCAGAAACGCGGAATGTTTGCTTCGTTTCACCCCATAGATAGACGTAACTCGTATAGGTATATTGTAACGTCGTCTAAAATTACAAAGTATAGCAGAGTCAATATATTTCTGATACACTCATTCATCAACCCTTTCTATGGTTATTTGTTTATCTTTATTTCCTTCTTTCAAGAAGAGCTTTTTACATTACCTATACAGACAGTTATTTACAAACAAGTATTTACAAAACAAAATTATTTACATTCATTTGATTTTGTTCTACCGCATGCATACTTTGCCAGTAAGATAATTATTTCTTCACGTATATTTTCGTTAAACTGAAGGTCAGTATTTGAACCAAGGAGTGTTTCAACGAGAACTTCGTCATCTCCATTTAATAATTGACAAGATGAGCTCACGTCTAATACATTCGTAATTATCGAAAAATACGATCTCGTTCCAGCGTTAATCCTTAACATTCCATAAGGGTATGTTTTGTGATATTTCTGTATTCACTTTGACATAATGTTTTTTGTAATCTTTTGGAAGCCATGTGTGTTTTTAACCAAATAAGCAACACTCGATCAAGTTTAACTGTTTACATAAAACCAACATTCAAACATATATATGAACGTTGGAATCTTGAAATTAGTAGGTAGTGAAATAGACATAATGTAAAATTATCAAGTTACACCAGAAGTATTCCCTCGGCTCTATTCGTGAACGTATAAATGCCACGTCTCTTTACTCCGTTTGCGTTTAGTTGCAAACAATCAAAATCAGAGTTAGTTTTTTTCTATTTTAGAGTTTTTTTTATTGTATTATTTTCCAGAGTTAGTATTTCTATTACTTCATCCTTAGAACGCCATCTCGTGTACGTCTTGATTTTGATATATGTACCAGTCCTTGAAGTATGTTGTTTAAGATACAACTTTTTCTTCTAATCTCATAATTTAATTAAAAAAATAAAACATGCTTTGACTACATATTATGAACGACACTAAACAAAAAGCTATATATACGTTTGTAATACTTGATACTACGTTACATAATATCATGACGTTGCACCATATTTTAGATAAAACAAAAGATGTTTGGACATGCTATTCATTTCTGATTGTCATATTTATTTTAGATTGAACGACATATGTTAATAAACATATGCTATTGCAGTATTTTACCGTGAACGTAGAATGTGATCGAATTGGATTCAATAATTTTTTGAAATTTTTATGAATGGCTTAGATGTAAAAGAAATATAATATAACTAAACTGAATACTGCATTCGCTCAATTTTGATTTCATGATAATTCTAGATATACAGGTAGTTACATTAATTCACCAATTATTACATAAAAATTCGACCTACCTCGTCGGCTGTAACACTGCAGAGTAGAAAAGCCGATACAAGATGCACTAGCATCATGACAGTTGTCTCAGAGATGCCCCTCATGATTGGTAAATCACATGATACGGACCATGCTTTTATAATCACAAGACCCGGATTTATTTTTTACCAATAAGCCTATACACCCACACGAGATCCAAGTTTAAAAATATACGACGAGATCCAATTGGTTGATATAATGGTAATGTTTATTACTCTATTTAATAGACAGGTGTTGCGTTGGAAAATCATAAACAATCCATTTTTAACTTTTTCTAAGTATGTATTATAGTTTGATTCTATTGAAAATAATAAAAGAGAATGAATAAACGAGAGCATTGTTGAAATACAGTTTAAACGGTAGGTTTAGTAAACCTACCAACTTATTTAATCAACACAAGATAAGCATGGTAACAAATAAAAATATAAAGTAATTCAAAGTACAATGCTCAAGCTATGTTTATTTTGTTATTATCTCAGTATTCTTTGAGGGTTGACATGATATCAACTTCACTTGCTATAAAAGTGCACGTGTAATGCTAAAATTATTTCATCTGTATCATAAAAGATGGCAGCATATGCTTAAACTCAACAACTGCACATGAGATATGCACATAAATATCTGTAATTGTAAGAATGGGACTCGTTTGGTCCTTTTGTATAAAAGCTTATTATCTGATCAGTTACGATTCTGTTTTATAGGTCACGTTGCTTTGATTGGTCACAAAATTACGAAACTTATGAAAATTCTCTTGTATATTCTGATACATGTGATAACTCCATGTGAAGTTCTCGAAATTGATATTCAAGAGTTGAATATATCATAAATCTAATATACTGAGCTAATGTAGGCCTATGTATTCATAGGGAATTCTATGAAAAATAATTATAACTGATTGAACAAGCATCAGGTTGTAACAGTTTGACATTTCTAATATAAGCTATACTGGGATTGATCAGGCCTTTGTTATGTTTACATTCTACAATAAAACATAGCAATAAAAAACTATCGATGAAATGAACTACTTTGAACATATTGAATATTACAGATTCATCTAACACGTATTTGAAAAAAAACGCAAAATATTTTGTCCTACTTCCATTGGACTTCTTCAGTTACTATGGCGTGAAAATTGACGTTTCAAGTACAACACTGAAATTCATACACAATAAGTTTAGTCACACAATAATGCAAATATACAAGCATGTATTCACCTAACAAAGTGATATTCTATAAATAAAAAATTAACATAATTCAACAGATTTACTGTTTTCTCCCTAAAATCTAGAGACCTTAAATAGCAATCTGGCCTCTCAAATAAGTATATCATACCTTTACTATTGATTTTATGACATAGTATAATATTCCAAATTGTTTGAAAATAGTTCACCTATAAAATGATATATAAGTCAATGTACCCTATTGAACGTAACTATTTTATCCTGATTTGAAGTTGGGTATTGTTTTTTTGGCCCACCCTGCATATATGTATAGCTGTAGAGGCTCCCTGGTCTCCTGTATATCAACCGATGTCCTTGCGGGTGCCGTACGGTAATCGGCAGATAGCCTTGCGATACCCGTGTGATATCTTTCAGATTTAATTGATTGTGGGCGCCGTTCGGTGCCTGTACTAATATATATACTAATATGACCATACTCACGGCGAAATCAAGACATCGGGGAAAAGTCACAGGCGCCCGATCGATTGAGAAATCGGCCGATGAATACTCATCGGCCGGCGCCCGGTGAAAATGTGACCTAGGCATTAAACTTTTCATTTTGATGTTCAAATAACAATCAAACCGTCAGTCAACTAACACTGATCGCATTATCCATTATAAAGCCACTGGATGAGGACATATTTGAGGAAAACCTGCAAACGAACGAACGAACAATGAACAAACAGAATGATGGACGGATTAGCGGACGAACGGACAGACGAACGAAACAACGAACGAACAAACAAACGGATGAACGGACGGTCGAACGAATGAACGAATGAAAGAAAGAAGGCATGTAAAAACGGACGAACGAACGCACAAACGAACGGACCGTCGAACGACCTAAGGAGGACGGACGGATGGATATATGAACGAACAAACGGTTCGAACAGACGAGCCGACGAAATATGTGTGTCCTCAGATAGGGTCATTCATAAGAACATTGAATTATGCAGAATATAGAATTAGCTCATCAATATACAAAGAATTTTTGTCAACACTACCAGATGAATCGAACTGCCTAAAGTTGATGATATGTTGCAGAAGAAATATTTCCGATGCTTCCCTAGAATAATATTCAAAATGCAAATAAACAATGATAATTTTAACGCTTGAGGAATATGGCATAGTCACGATTCGAATAAAAGAAACGACTTAAATTTTTCTTCAAAAGTTAAAGCATTAGAGACACTTCTCAAAATCTGGAAATGGAGAAATTTAAATTAAGCCTGATTGGAAAAAAATACAATAATCAAAGCCCTTGCAATATCAAAACTACCATACCTTACATAAACTATCCCCGTTCCAAACAATATCATCGAACAAGTGCAAAATCATTAATTATTTTATGTGAAACGGAAAACCACCCTTGATCAGCAATTATACGACAATAGGAGAAATAGAAAATGGAGGAATCCAAACCATCCATTTCGACTCCAGATAAAAGCGTTACAAATACAATGGGTGAAGATATTATATAATAACAACGGGGCCAAATGGAAACTGTTCTTCTACAAACTATTGCCTAATCTCGACTCGAAAGAAATATTTCAAGCAAAATTTAAAGAAGACACCTTTAATAATTTTCCACCTTTTTATCTCTCAATTAGGAATACTCCAGTAAAATTATCAAAAATAAATGAAAAAATTGCACTAGTAATTAAACCTAGTGCAACAAATGTATATGCCTCCAATCACATTCAAATTTTCAGAGATCATGCATCTATGTTTGGTTAGTAGTCATGGAAAGTTTAATCTTGATTGGACAATGGGTTACCATGGCAACACAATTTAACTGCAAAATATTAAGGATAAATCAACCTACAAACGGATGGTAACTTGTCATTTTTAATTTTTCAAAATGAATGCAAAGTTGAGCTTAATACATATTGAAGGTGTTTACAACAAGATAACATGATTACTAGTAATCTATGAATAGGTTGACATATTGGGCTTTGGACCTGATTCATGTTTGATAACTACTAAGTGATTTACCACAAAGTGGGCGTGGCACTTTTTTGTTATTACATTTCAAAATAATTCCATGTTTACATGATCATAT